CCGTGTGGGCCGCAGTTTCTCAGATGGGTTTTAAATAGCCCTCTCCACTCAGGCACAGGATGGGAACCACCCGGCAGGCCTAGCAGCTGGTGGGGAAGCCCCAACTCCAGCCCTCCTTCCTGAAGGCGCAGGTGCAGCTAAGCCCCACTTCTGGGAGCGGCTGGCCTGCTTGGACTGGCCGGGGTGCTGGCAGGGAATGACGGGCCGGGGAACCCAAGACAGACCCTACACACGTGTCATTGGCCCACACGGGTGGGAGGAGGGGGTCAGGCCTGCCTTGGGCCTCCCTGCTGCCTCCACTTGTTCCTGCCTCCTGGAGGGCGGGGGCTGAGCTCGCACATGTCCTCGCACATGTCCTCAGCAGGTGCGGTTAGCTCTGGCCACCTGTGGGTCTCCCGGGGGCTGCGTCCTCCCCCGTCGGGCTATGCCCCTGCCTCCAAGGCTGAACCCACCCCTGTCTTTCAGAGCAAGGTGAAATACATCAAGCAGACCAGCACCATCCTGCAGCAGCGCTATGGCGGGGACATCCCAGCCTCCGTGGCTGAGCTGGTGGCACTGCCGGGCGTTGGGCCCAAGATGGCACACCTGGCTATGGCTGTGGCCTGGGGCACTGTGTCAGGCATTGGTGAGTGGTGCACACCCCCAGGAGGACAGGACTGGCTCCGGCCCACTGGCTGCTCTGGGATTCCCCACATCCTTTTGACCTGTGACTCCACCCAGCCCATAGGGTCAGAAAGGTGCTCCCAGGGCTGAGCCAGGCCAGCCCCACTCAGAGACAGGCGCTGGGGCAGGAGCTCGCATGGGATGGGCGCCTGCTCTGTGCGGGACTCTGAGAGAGGCCCCGGAGCTAGACTCCATCTGTGCTGTATTCAGGAGAGATGTGGAGCAGGGAATTCCCCACTCGTGGGGTGGAAACACTGATGGTTGTGCAGGGCGCTGCTGGGGCCTGGCCTGGGCCCAGGACCCCTGGGAAGGCCCCCAAGGTCATCCTTCAGTTGAGAGCTGCAGGGCAAGGTGGGGTGAGCCAGGCCGAGAGGAGGAAGTGTGTTCCCAGCAGAAGGAACAGCATCTGCAAAACCGTGATTCGAGAGACAGGGCCAGGAGCAGTAAGTTCTGGAATGAGATGAGGGCAGAGCGGGGAGGTGAGGGCTGAGGAGGGAGGGGGAAGAGTGTCCCCTCAGCAGGTGAGGTGGGGAGGGGGGGGCTGGGGGGAGAAAGGGGAAGGGTGGGGAGGGAGGTGCTGGGGGGGTGGGGGGAGGGTGGGGAGGGAGGCGCTGCGGGGAGGGCCCTCCTTAAATCCTTTTCCCAGGTCCTGGTGTCTCTTCCTGGCACCAGAGGCTTCTTGGCAGTTGGGTAAAGACAGACCCTTGGGTTTGGGGTGGGGTTGCCTCATCCTGGGCTTTGCCTAGAGAATTTGGGGCTCCTAAGGCCACACGCAGCCGGGCCCAGCCAGTCCAGAAACCAGGGCTTGGCCCTGCCCTCTGTGTGCCCCCATCCCAGGCCCCTGTGGGACTCTTGCAGGGGCCTGTGCTAGGGGGGGCCTTCCAGCACTTTCTGGCGGGCAAGAGGGCCATCAGGGGCTGAGGGCCACGGTTCTGAGCAGGGGGCCACCCTGTGAGGCTGAAGGGCTGCACCAGCCCCAGAGAGCCAGAGCCAGGCCAGGTGCGCCAGGGCAGGGCCTCCTCCCCACCGAAGCTCCCAGCGCCACCACCTGCCAGCCTCTCAACGGACACTTGAGCTTATCTGGGCGGCTGTCCTCAGCTGCCCGTGTCCCTGGGGTGCTGCATCGTGGTTGGGCAGGGCTGTGGGGGAAGGTCCCTGCCCGCAGCCAGGCAGGGAACGGGCTTTGGGAGTAGCAGGCACAAGAGACAGGCATGCAGGAATACCTCCCTCTCCAGGTGTCTGTGGGCCTGACCACCTGCAAGGAGACCCCAGGGCTGCCTCCTGGGGGTTCCCAGAAACAGAAACACTGTCGATTAAAATGTCAGAGCTGGCTGGGTACGAGGGCTCAAGCCTGTAATCCCAGCACTTTGGAAGGCTGAGGTGGGTGGATCACCAGAGGTCAAGAGTTTGAGATCAGCCTGGCCAACATGGTGAAACCTCGTCTGTACCAAAAATACAAAAATTAGCCGGGCGTGGCCAGGCGCGGTGGCTCACGCCTATAATCCCAGCACTTTGGAAGGCTGAGGCGGGCAGATCATGAGGTCAGGAGATTGAGACCATGGTGAAACCCCGTCTTTACTAAAAATACAATAAATTAGCCGGGCTCGGTGGTGGGCACCTGTAGTCCCAGCTACTTGGGAGGCTGAGGCAGGAGAATGGCGTGAACCCAGGAGGCGGAGCTTGCAGTGAACCAAGATGACGCCACTGCACTCCAGCCTGGGCGACAGAGCGAGACTCGGTCTCAAAAAAGAAAAAAAAAAAGATCAGCCGGGCGTGGTGGCAAGAGCCTGTAATTCCAGCTCCTCGGGAGGCTGAGGCAGGAGAACTGCTTGAAACCCAGAGACAAAAGTTGCAGTGAGCCAAGATTGCGCCACTGTCTTTATCCAGCCTGGGCGACAGAGCAAGACTCCCTCTGAAAAAAAAAAAAGCCACAGCCATAGATTGCTGGCTGCAGTCCCAGCTCTGCACCTCCCGGCTGAGTGACTCTGGGCCAGGCACCTGGCTTCTCTAAGCTCTGGCCACAAAGTGGGTGAAGCAGTCCTCCTCATTCACTGTCCAGGTGGGCAGGAGGCCCATACATTGTGACGTGTCCTGACACAGCTTTGGGTATCCTAAGAAGCATGGCCACTTCCGTGTTACAGAGGAGGAAACTGAGGCTCAGAGCCCCAAGGATGTGGCCTCTCAGGCCTTGTGGTCTCCCTACACCCTCAGACACCTTTTTCCAGGCGGCAGCAAAGGAGCTGGTGCAGGACTTGGCTTTCTCTTTGGCAAACACTGAAGGAGCAGGCAGGGCTGGGGCTGGGGCCGCAGCTGGCAGGGGCCACCGGGTGGGAGAAGGGAGCCCGATGAGCAGGCACCTGGGGTGACCAGCTGAGGGGAGCAGGAGCCAGATCCCAGGTGGACAGCAGCTGCGGCCGGCCGGGCCAGGGTCCCACTCTGTTCCTGACTGCTGCAGTGGCAGGTGCTGGGTCTGCAGGCAGTGACCTCATGCCGGCCTGCTGGGCAGAGCTGTTGCCACCCAGCCTGGTGCCCAGAGCCAGTGCTTATGCCAGGAGGGGCCTCAGGCCACAGGAGACAGACAGGGAAGCCTGGATGAGCCCTCCTGGGCCGGGGCCTCGTTCCCTGGGAGGCTGAGGGCTGAGAGGTGCTTCGGAGTCGGGATCCTGCCAGGCCTCACAAGGTCCTCGGGCATCTGTAGGACCTTGTGAGGACTTACCGAACTGGCCATTCTCTCCGGTAGGGTCTGGCCCCCAGCAAGTGTTTGTCCAAGTGAGCTGTCGCTGTTATTGTGGGAAATAGAGCTCGAAGCAGAGCCGAGTCATCCACCCCCAAGCCCTGCACGGAGCAGAGACCCCACCACCCACACACCCGTCTGGCACCAGGGTTGGTGGGAATGGATCAGCCCTCCCCGGCCAGGCTGGCTCAGGTGATGGGAGGGAGGCCTGCACCCCAACAGAGGGCTCAGCCCCTGCCCCAGCAGCTCAGGGGCAGCCAAGATGGTCAGATGTAGGCTTGCAGCCAGGGCTTTGTGGTTCTAATCTCCAACTGGAGGGCCACAGCGGTGGTGGCAGACTCGCCTCTGGGCAGGGAGTGCACGGGCTGGGCGGGTGGAGTGTGCCCATTCACCCCACTTGCCTCTCCGCAGCAGTGGACACGCATGTGCACAGAATCGCCAACCGGCTGAGGTGGACCAAGAAGGCAACCAAGTCCCCAGAGGAGACCCGCGCCGCACTGGAGGAGTGGCTGCCCAGGTATGAGTATGTGGGGGGCTTCCTGGCAGAGAAAAGCTCACCCTGCCCTCCCTCTGTCTGCACTGACCCAGCCCCCACCCCCACAGGGAGCTGTGGCACGAGATCAATGGACTCCTGGTGGGCTTCGGCCAGCAGACCTGTCTGCCTGTGCGCCCTCGCTGCCAGGCCTGCCTCAACCAAGCCCTGTGCCCGGCTGCCCAGGGTCTCTGATGGCCGAGCAGCTCCCGCCTCGGTGCTGCTGTGGCCACAGTCTGTGAAGTGGCTTTACGCTTCAGGAAGCCACGCCTGTCGAATAAAGCTTTGGGCTGTTTGCAGATGGGATCTGGCTGATGTCTGTCCCTGAGGGGGCAGGGCGCCTGGGAATCACATACAAGTGTGTGTGCGTGCACACCCGTGCTCGCGTGTCTGGAGCAGGGCTGCCTGGGAGGCCGGCTGGGGACGTGACAGTCTTTGCTCAGTACTCAGGGAGGAGAAGGGGGTGTGCGTGAACCTGGGAGGGAGGAAGTGGGGAGAGCCAGCTGCAGCCAGCTGCTGGAAGTCCACTGGGGAAGCAGTCCGAGGCAGCTGGCTGAGGACCCTGGCCCCTCATGCTAGCCATCGCCGGCTCCCAGCTTCCCAGCCTGGACACCACCAGCTCCTGAACTTCAGTGACCTCAAAGCGCAGCCTCTGCCCAGTCCCACCCCCCGCCCTTGAAAGGGACATTGGGGACCCAGGCAGGGTGCCATAGGCTACAAGGCTTGACCTGTGATTGCTAGAGGTCGCAAGTTGAATTGGGCAAAGGGTGGCCCGTGGGGGTGTTGTGTGAAGCCAGATGGCTTCACAGGGAAGATGAAGGTGGGAGGCTGAGTCTGCCGAATAGAGAGATGGTCCTGGGCCCAGGATGTGCCACACAGCAGGGGGTCCCATGGGGTCCGGTGGGGGAGAGGGAGCAGGGCTGGGAGCAGATGGATGCAGGGCAGGGGCTCAGGAACGAGACCCAGTTTCCAGCTGCTGAGACTCAGGCAGGGGGCTCCCTGGAACAGCCTCATCCCTCCACTCCCCTCACCCCGTGGGGAGGAGGCTCAGAAAAGACAGAGGCGTGTGGGTCCCAGGCAGGGCCTGTTTATTCTGAGCGCGCGCATGCGCTATGGCTTAACGAGGCAACAGCGGTGCCGGTCGATCAGTGGTCGGCTCAGGGGTGTGGGGCCCGGGAGGGAAGAGCAAAGTCAACAGGGTGTCCACGGGGGAGCCTGCCAGGCAGGGCTGAGCCAGAGGCCAGGAGTCCTTCGTGGGTGCTGCTCTCACACACCTATGTTCCCCAGGCCTGGGAGCTGCCGTGCGGAATGAGGGGCCTGTCCAGAGGCCACCCTCCTCGGGGACGTGGGGCCTCCATCCTCGGGCCCCTCGGAGAACCCAGGCCCTACACTTCAGACCCCCAGCAGGGCACAGGCGCACAGGGTAGCTGGGTGGGGAGCAGGGCCTGGCCTAGGGACCCCCCACACCAGGGCGGGTTGGGGAGGGGCAGCTCCTACAGCCACATCAGGCCTCCCTGGCCTTACCCGAGGTCCCCACAAACAGGCTGGGGGCCCCAGCTCGGCCACTGGGAAGTCCCAGGGACTCCCACTCGGGACGGCTGCTGCTGAGGGGAGGGGGCGGGGAGGAAATGGTTTGCAGAGAAAGGTTTGTTTTATTGCAATTATTTAGAGCGCGTCCCAAGGGGGAGGGGAAGTCGGGGGGCGGGGTGGGGGGGCTCTGGTATTAAGTGGAAACATGTGTGGAGCTGGAGATCTTTTTGGAAAAAAGCAAAAACACAAATTCCTTTCAGTCAGCAGGCCCCGGCAGAGCAGCAAAGGCCCTCACCCCGTGCTGCCGCCGCTCGCTCTCTCGCTCGCTTGCTCTCTGTGTCTCTGTCTCTGCCTCTCTCTCACATCTCTGGGTCTCTCTCCCCACATCTTGCTGCCACAGGCCCCCAGTACCTGGCAGGCAGGGGCAGGACGGGGGCTCACGGGGGCTGGGGCTGATTTCTGGGCAGTGGCAGGACCACCCTCCAGTCCACTGAGGCTTGGGGAGCTCGGGGCAGGCTGAGGCCCAAGGTCCGTGCAGGAGGGGTCCCAGGGCCCCGAGACAGGCAGGAAGGGGCTCAGAAGTTGCTGAAGATTTCGCGCTTCCTGTTCCAGTCCATCTGCGGCGCGCGCTTGTTGACTCGCGTGGCTCGAGCCTTCTCCTTGGCCTCGGCTGCTGTGGGGCTCAGGTGGAGGCCGCTCTCCTGGAAGGGGTCTCGCTTCCAGGCACTGCCATCCTGGGGTGAGCACAGTGGGTGAGGTGTCTGGAGTGAGCCCTAGGCCCTCACCCCAGACGGGGGCCCCTCCCAGGGAACAAGCAACACAGGTTGCCTGCTGGGGTTGGGGCTGGGGTAGGGGCTCATGAGGGCTTCCTGAGCAGAGACCCCACTGCCAGGGCTGACATCTCCACAGACGCCCACCCCAAGGCCTCTGGCAGCCCCATGTGTGAGCTCAGGAGTGGAGGAGGACATCCATACCTCAGTGTCCTTGTCAGAACCAGGAAGGTCACTTCGGGACGAGCACGCAGAGCCACCATTGAGCTGGGAAACCAAGGGCAGGTTGTGGCTTCACAGACAGACACAACACCCGCACAAGCACACATGTGCACAGATGCACACGCCCCACCAGTGTGTGCTCCTCCACTCGGCAGGGGGCCCCGGGCATCTGGTGGACTCTAGATGCGGTGAGGCAGGCACCGGGCGCCCGGCAGTGACAGGCAGGTGGCCTGGCCGGCTCATGGTGCAGAGGGGGTTTGGGTGCAGGAATGGCCGGCGTGAGCAACGCCTGGGGTGAGGCTACCACCAGCTCCCTGAGGAGGCAGAGACTGGAAGGCAACTCCCTACCAGGTGGTGCTCAGGAGGGGACGGAAGGCAGCAGCCCCAACCCCAGGCACCCCATGTGGCTTGTGTGTGGCACTGATCCAGGACGAAAACCACAGGGGCATTAAAGGGAGGTGATGGCCAGAATCGGGTGTCACTACCACACCTCGAGGAAAGGGATCTCCAGGGAGAAGGGGGCCTGTCGGGCCTTGGTACCCCCAGAAGCACTTTGTGTCTCATGGGCACCCCACCCTCTCACCTGGACAGGGCTGGTTCCGTTGGTCACGGGTGATGGCAGAGGACCTGTGGGGACAGCGTGTCAGTGTCTACTCGGCCACCACACCGCACCCACCCTGTGCCCCGGGCCGTGGCCCACCTTCCACATGCTCCTCGGTGGGTGTGACCCGAAGCCGCTTGAAGTGCTCATCTGTCTCGGGGTCCACCACCAGCAGCCGGGCCTCATCCTCCCGTGCCTTGATGCTGGCCACCACCTCAGCGTGGCGCAGCCCCTCCACATTCTGCCCGTTCACCTGCCGCCACCAGCACGCATCAGCCCCGCCGTGGGCCCAGACAGCCCCCAATGCCGCGTGGCCAGGTGTGGCATCAAATATTCATCACAGCCACCGCCCGCCGAGGCAGCAGGAGGCGCACCAGCTCAGGTTCCCAGTGTCTCCCTCCTCCCTGCAAGGACCCAGGGCCCCAGTGTGGACAGGCATGGGGCCCCCAGCACCCTGCAGCCCTGGTGGGCCGGTACCTCAATAAGCCGGTCCTGGGCGCGGAGGCCAGAGCGGGCGGCAGGTGAGCCCAGGTCCACCGAGCGGATGTACTGGCCGGGCCGGGACTTGTCACTATGCAGGTTGAACCCATAGCCCTGAGGTCCCTTTCGCAGGTGGCAGAGCCGAGGGCGCAGCTCCCTCAGGGGCCCACTGACATCCTGCAGGCCCAAGGGACAGGGTCAGTCCCTGGCTCCAGCCTCCCACCCCCAGAGGCCACTCCCTGGTGGTGCCGCTGCTGCCCAGACTCGGTACCATGCCACCCACGGGCAGGCCCAGGTCTCAGTGGCAAACAGTCCGGGCACCCAGGCTGCCTGTGACAGAGCTTTAGTTGTGGGAACTTGGGCAAAGCCAGTTTTCAAACCCAGAAGCCTCCCGGATGGGCCCAGCCGCCTTCCTGGGTTGCTGGGATAATTCCCTGGGCTGGAGGCCAGCGTGGCACACAGGCGGGGTGGGAGAGAGCACCAGGTGGCAAGAACTGTCACTGTCGGCCTCCTGGGGCAGTTGTCCCTGAGGGCCCTGCCCGTGCGTCCCCCTGTCCCGGGCACTTCTCCAGAGCGTGGAGCAGGCGCTCCTAGGCCAGCAGTTTTGTTTTCTCTCCAGAGGCCTCTGTGAGGCTGGCTGCGGTGGCGGCTCTGTTTGCTTTCACATTCCGGGAAAACGAGCTGCACCACCCCCGCGGGCCCAGCACGCAGAGGCTGGGGCAGGAGCTTAGAGTGGACAGGGCACAGAGGGCCTCCTGGGGCCCGGAAGGACCCCCCCACTACCATCCCAGGCCCTGCCCCATGTTACCTCTGGCATCCTGCAGTGGGGGTCTGGGCCAGGGGACCATGCAGGCAGGGCCAGGCCCAGTGACCACCCCCCAGCCAGGGGCCAGGCCAGGGTGCCGCGGCGGTGGCCAGTGGCTGCCCGTGCTCAGTTAAACATGGCGGTGGCCAGAGGAGGCGGGGGGGCAGCTCAGGTTTCCAGGGAGTGCCAGGCTTGAGGGCGTGTGCAGGGGAGAGTGTGCAGGCGGGGTGGGGGGCTGCCAGGGCCCCTCCCTCACCTCCTACCTCCCTGTGTGTCCCTGAGGGACCACAGGCCAGGCCAGGGCTGGGGCGGCATGGCAAGAGGGGCACTCAGACCTCAGGAGGGCAGGTCTCCAGGCCTTAGACACCCCCGACCCCTCCAGCCACCCACCTTCAAGCTCACGCCAAACCCCAATGCACCAGAAACAGCCATGTCAGTGGCGGGGGCCGCCCTGCCAAGGGAGCAAGGGGGTCCTTCTCCACAGGGCTAGTGCCCTGTCCCCTGGGCTCGGGACCTGCCCTTGGTCTGGAATACCCTTCTCCTGTCCAGCCCGCCAGATGCCTCGTCAGGAGCCTCCTGCCCACCCTCTGAACCCTCTCTGCATGGCCACAACCCAGGCCCTATCACACCAGAAACTCCAGGGACAAGGCTGTGGCTCCTTGGCCCTGCAGGGGCTCAGCTGGGCCACATGGGCTGAATTGGAGGGTACAAGACCCCCAAAATCTCCAGGGCCCCACCACATAGACCCACCCCTCCGCCAGACACACCTGGTGGCACAGGCATGGGGCTTTGAGGCTGACCCTGACACCTGCCCACAGAGCTGCCCCTCAGGGATGCAGTCAGAGCAGTGCTGAGGCTGGCCTGGGACTGAGGGAAGGCGTGGGGACAGGAGCCCAGTTCGGGGGGGAGGTGGGAGCGTGACATGGGCCCAGGCGGTAAAGACACGTCACACGGTCACAGACACAAGATGTCCAAACACACCTGCAAACATGCATAGCCACCCACACATGCGGCCAGCCCCACAGTGCTGGCCCGGCAGCCCTTCCCACGCCTGCACAGCGGCCTACAGGGCAGGGTTTCTCAGGGCACCAGACAGGAAGCAGGATCTGGTGGGTGTCTGGGGCCCTGAGGCCAGGCCAAGGCCCCCTCAGTGTTCTCAGGGTCATTCTGGCCACCCCTCTGCCTCTGTCCAGAAGCAGCCGTCTTTCACTCTACACGGCAAGAAGTTCTGCCTATCATCAAACCCCTCATTGTCAGCAGGGTCACGGAGGCGTCAGGCACAGCACTAAACCCTCAGGTGGTGGAAGGGCTGCAATGGAGGGGCCAGGGTGGGCTGCTGGCAGCACATGGGGCGGAGCTTGGGGGCCCAGAGAGCTGAGGAGCTCGGGCGGGGTTCATAGCTCACATTCCTCCTCCCTGCCCTGGCTCAGCACACACTTCCTGCCGCCTTCTGCCAGGCCCTCTGGCTCCCACGGGCTCCAGGCTCCCTCCCTGCCAGTGGCCAGCACAGAGCTGGACCATCCCTGGTCCCCCAGCCATGCCTGTGTCCGGACAAAGAGGCTAGCATGGGGGTACACTGGGCGCCCCCCCAGATGGTGACGCACCAGCCCTGGCAGAGAAAGGCCTTCATTGTTGCTCAGGGACCAGCCTGCTTACATCAAGTTCCCGGAGTCCCTTCCTCCCACCCCGGGAGGCTGAGCGGCTGCTGGTTCCTCCTAGCCCTCCCTTCCTCCCACCCCACCTGACCTGTACCAGCCCCTGGGGTGGGCTCCGTGGAGGGGCTCCTGGAGCCCGGGCAGGTGGCGTGGCACTCCCGGAGCGCGCCATGGCAGCGGTACAGCGGCAGTGAGTGGCAGGCGTCCGGCCGGGGTGGCCTGAACTCTCTGGCTGACCCAAGCTGCCACCCCACTTATCTACCTCCCTCTGCGGCCCCGGCTCCCTGGGGATGGGTGGAGACGCGGGGGCTGAGTCACTCTGGGGAGCAGGGTGATGACTGAGCCCACTCCCCTGCGAAGGCTCCAGCCCGGCGCCCCCCACCCAGCTAGGTTTCCGTCCCAAGAAAGGAAGGAAGGAAGCTGCTGGAAGGCCCTGCCCTGCCCCAGGACCCAGGGCTGGGGGGACAGGGAGGAGTCCCGGCCCCAGAACACAGGACAGTCCTGCTGAGGTTCCAGAGGAACAAGAGCCACAGGAGCCCGGAAGCCCCCACAGGCACCGCGCCCTAACCACACAGCCGCCTCCCACAGATCTGTCACCCCTCACCTGCTGTCAGCCCCCAAGGCCCTCCAGACGGAGGTGGAGACTGGGCTAGGGGCAGGGGGCAGAGGGCTCAGGGTCTGCCACCACCTCTAGGGCCTGGCACCGCTGGCCACCCGTCTCTGGGGGCCGTCCCCTGTCATCACTACTAGGATCAGCTGCACCGCAGCTGCGGCCACCCCCAGCCTGCTGTGGCCCAGGGCTGAGTCATCACTAACTAGGCCTTCATGACCCCCAAAAGGAGTGGCCAACCACATCAGTGTCCTCCCCTGCCCACCTCCCCTATCCCCAGCCAGGACAGAGGACACAGAACCACCCTTAGCTCCCAGGGGGCACCCAGAGTTGGGCCCTCTCCATCCTGCACCAAAGCCAAGCTACATACCCTCCCAGGGCTCTGCCTCTCTGCCACCACCGCCCCCACTGGAGCCATCCCTGCAAGGTAAGCTTTGCGCTCCTGGGCTCCCTGAGCATCTCAGGCACACCCTGAACCCAGGCTGAGCAGGGCAGGATCTGAACCTGCTCTGCGGAGGTCTGGTGAGCCCCAATTCTTCCTGTCCACGCTGGGAGCTCAGGTGAACAAACCTCAGGGCTCGAGCCAGGCACGGTGGCTCACGCTTGTCACCCCAGCACTTTGGGAGGCTGAGGTAGGCAGATTACTTGAGCCCAAGAGTTCCAGACCAGCCTGGCCAACATGGCAAAACCCTGTCTTTACTAAAAACACAAAAATTAGCCAGGTATGGTGGTATACGCCTGTAATCCCAGCTACTCGGGAGGCTGAGGCCCAAGAATTGCTTGAATCTAGGAGAAGGAGATTGCAGTGAGCCAAGACCACACCACAGCACTCCAGCCTGGGCAACAGAGTGAAACTCCGTCTCAAAAAAAAAAAAGAAAAGAAAGAAAGAAAGAAATTAAACCTTAGCTCTCAGGGGCCAGGTACAGTGGCTCACGCCTGTAATCCCAGAACTTTAGGAGGCGGAGGAGGGCAGATCACCTGAAATCAGGAGTTCGAGACCAGCCTGAGCAACATGGTGAAACCCCATCTCTACTAAAAACACAAAATTAGCAGGGTGTGGTGGCGTGTGCCTGTAATCCCAGCTACTGGGCAGGGTGAGGCAGGAGAATCGCTTGAACCCAGACGGCAGAGGTTGTAGTGAGCCAAAAAAAAAAAAGAAAAAGGGCCGGGCGCGGTGGCTTCACGCCTGTAATTCCCAGAGCACTTTGGGAGCCGTCGCGAGACGGGTGGACACGACGGGTCAGGAGATCGAGGACCATCCTGCTGGGCTAACACGGTGAAACCCCGTCCTCTACTAAAAATACAAAATTAAGCCGGGCTGGTGGCGGGCCACCCTCTGTAGTCCATGCTACTCCGGGAAGGCTGAGGCAGCGAGAAGTGGTGTACCCAGTGATGGTGGAGCCTTTACAGTGAGCGAGACTCTGGAAACATGCACCCCCAGTTCTGGGCTATACAGATGCGAGACTTTCCATTCTCCAAAAATAAATAAAAAAAAAGAAAAGAAAAGAAAAAGAAACCTCAGGTCTCGATGCCAGAAGAGAGAAGGGGAGACCCTGCTCCTTGGGTGTCCCCTGACCTCCTGGAGCCCCTGTCCCCAGCCAGACTCATGCACAAAGGGACCTGCTACTCAGGCCACCCTTTGTTCCTCTAAAAATATACCCAGAGGAAGCTCCTCCTAGGGCTTCCTGCAGCCCCCAGAGCCTGAAATAGCAGACGGGGGAAGGTCCCACCCAAGGCAAGGTGCCTCGGCCACCGCACCCTCCAGATAAAGTCCGAGGGCCAGATTTTTCCACAGGAAGGTGAACCATGCATTTGTGTCCAAATCAATGGACAAACGCCTGAGGTAGAGGGGGAGCTTCCTCCTGGGGGAGGGAGGGTGCCTGGGAAAGAGGGAGGCCCCAACCCTCAACTTGGAGACAGGGGCCTGGGACCAGCCCACTCCCCTGCAAGGCCAGCCCCCCAACCAGCCCTGGGCTGGGCACCTTGGCCCTGAGCACGGCCATGGCCTGCACTCAAGCCCCAGGAACAAAACGGGTCCCACAGGTCCCATGGCCAGGCCTGTGCCCCCTCCCCACAGGGAATGCCGTCTCCCTGCCAAGACATCCCCCCGCCGGGCTCAGCTCCCAGGCGCAGCCAGCTCCAGGAGTGATACTTGGGAAAGGGAGAAAGTGAATGTATAGATCCCCTGCACCCTCAGAAACTCCAGATCCCACACCTCTGCCTCAGGCACGGTTCTCACAGTGGGGTCTGGCCAACCCCTGGACTCAAATCCCCTGAAGGGATTTATTTCTTTTTTTTCTTCTTTTTTTTTTTTTTTGAGACAGTCTCGCTCTGTCTCCTAGGCTGGAGTGCAGTGGCAGGATCTTGGCTCACTGAAACTGCTGCCTGCCGAGTTCAAGCAATTCTCCTGCCTCAGCCTCCAGAGTAGCTGGGACTACAGGCGCCCGCCACCAAGCCCAGCTGATTTTTGTAGTTTAAGTAGAGACAGGTTTCACCACATTAGTCAAGCTGGTCTGAAAACTCCTGACCTCAGGTGATCCGCCTGCCTCAACCTCCCAAAGTGCTGGGATTACAGGTGTGAGTCACCTTGCCCAGCCAGGGATGTCTTTGAAAATGAAAAAAAAAGGTAGGAGAGCATGGAGACAATGCCATCAGGGCCTCCAGGAAGACAGGACAGACAGTTTCAGGCTGTTCCTCCTAGCCCTCAAGGCCTGCCAGGTGGCCCCTCCCAGCGGCCACCTAGCAGGAGGTGGAGCAGGCGGCCCCTGTACTTTTCTGGGTCTCCTGACTGGGAGCAGGGGCAGGGGAAGGAGGAAGTGCTACCCAGCAGGAGCCCATAAGAAACAGCACACAGGGTCCCCGGGCCCTCCCTTATATCTAGGGGAGGAGTGGGCTCACCTTGGAGCTGCCTGGACCCCCCAACTCCACTCCCATGCTCCCAGCGCCACCCATACCAGGCCTGGCAGAGTGGCCTCCTAGGCTTCCCCAGCCTGCAGAGGCGGCCAGCCCTCTCCCAGGCCTTCCCAGCACACAGGCTCCTTGAAGAGAGACGAGGACAGAGCCACGGATGACACCCAACACAGGCACGGAGCTGGGCACACGCAGACCTAGAATGTCTACTCCCAGGGCTCCTCAGCCATGAGGCTGGGGGCTGGGGAGGCGGCAGCTTGTCAGAGTAACCCCTCGATAGGGCAAGGGGCTCTGGAGCGTCCTGGAGAAGAGGAACAGGCTAGGCTGCCCTGACCCTACCCAGTTTAAAACACAGGCTGAGGGTAGAAAGAGTGGCCCCCAGTAGCCAACAGGATGGTCCCTGGGGCAGACAAGGGGCCCCAAAAGGCAGAAGAGACCAAGACTTCTGGAGATGATCAGAGGCAAAGATGGTCATCGAAAGCCAAGAGAGCCTCTGGGAGAGGCGAGGGTGGTCCCTGCGGGCCGAGTCCGCCATACCTTCTTGCCAGCGTCGGAGCTGCAGCCACCCATGTGTGCCCAGTCTGGCTTTGGCTCCCAGGGGTCGTGGGCGGGCGGGAGCCCTCGCTGGGCCATCTCCTCAGTGCAGGTCAGCTGCCGCCGGCGGAGCTCCTCATCTGTCTCCTGGTCCACCACCAGCAACCGGGTCTGCCCCTCCACAGCCTTGATCCTCTGCACCACCTTGGGCAAATGGGTGACAGGAGCGGGTCAGTGGCCCGCATTCCGGGCAGCACATGGGCAATGGCACCACACTGGGCTGGCCCGGGCATGCAGGCGGGCAGCTGGTCTGCATGGGCGGGTGGCCGCACCGAGAGGCCTGCCGGCCCCGCCCCCCACCCCCAGACTCCAGAGGCTCCCTCCCTCTGCACCCAGGCTCTGGACACTGAGGTCTAGGCTGCGAGGGCTTCAGGGTCCTCCCAGAGCCTTGCCCTTAGCCCAGGGTCTTCTCCAGGCAGGGCTGGGAAGGGGCTGCAGTGTAGGGCAGCTGGGTAAGTCCCGTCTGGAAGTAACAAAGACGGTGCACAGTGGAGCTTCAGGTTTTCAGTCTGCCTGTTAGTGTGTGCACGTACATCCATCTGTTTCAAAGTCTGTGTCTGCGTCCAGGTTTGAAGGAGAGGGGTGTCTCCCTGGGCCCCAGTTTGGGTGTGTCCGTGCCCATTCCTGTCATTCTCTGCCATGGGAGTCTAAACCCCTGACCCCAGGCCTTATGTCCACCTCCAGGCCATGACCATGGGCCCATTCCCGCTGGACCTGTGAGGAGGGGAATGGCTGGACTCCTGCCTCGGGTACGCACACACAGCCAGGGAAGCAACATTCAGCTACAGCCGGCAAGGGGGAGGGGCAGTGAACAGCTATGGCATGGTGGCTGTCCGCGTGGGGGTGCAGGTGCCTGTGAAGTGTCTGGACCATGCAGGGGGCCGGCGTGCACCCGCAGAGAGAAAGCAGTGCCCATTGGGAAGCGGGCAGGAAGACGGGCAGCCCTACTCCCACCTGCGGCCTGGGGGGGGTGGACAGGGCTCCCCACCAGCCGCCGGGCTCAGCAGGGGTGGTGAACAGATAGGAGGGACTGAGCCAGGCCCATCTGTCCCCTGGCCCTCCTCTCTCCCCATGACCCAGAGTGAGACAAGAGGAACCGAGTGCCCAGCTGCTTCTTGACTATGTGTCCCAAACAAGTCACCCTAAATCTCTGGCATCAGTTTCCTCAACTGTCAAATGGGGCAGTAACTGCACCTCTTGCCCTCCTGGGGCAGTGGGGAGAGTCCACCATGGTCTGTGTGTCCAGTCCTCAGAGACCAGCACCCCAGGGCCTTGGATAAGCAAGTGTTCCCTGGGCAAGGGCGGCAACGACTATCAAACAGCAGCCAGGCCCCAGCCCTACCAGCCCTACCCTCAATCCCTCAGGTCCAGGCCACTGGCCTGATCCCCACCTTCTTCAGCAAACAACCCTACACAGCAGACACTGGGTGGAAAGCATGGGGCTGGCCGACGGAGGGACAGACAAGGCACCAGGTGAACAGGAGACCAACTCCAGGCCCAGCTGAACCAACTGCTAATCTTGAGGTTCCAGGACCAGCCATGTAGACAGGTTATGGATTCGCCAGTGCTGTGAGGGACAGGGGACCTGGAGGACAAGGGGTGTGTGGACACTGGACCCCCACCAGGGTGTGGAGGAAGCCCCTGGCCTGTGGGAGACAGACATACCTCAGGGGTCAGAACCCACAGAGAAAAGGCTCTGTTCTCCTTAGCCAGGAGGCAGGAGGCTTTGGCAAGTAACCCCAGCCGGGCTAAGCAGCCTCTGAGGAGGGGTAGTGTCTTTGGAGCTAAGGAATGTGGTTGCCACCAATGGCCAACTCAACCCGGTCCCAGGCATACCGGCTGGGACACACTAGAGAACAGACACAGACTTACCAGCCTGCAGACACACAGTGATGAGTACAGTAACCAGGTGTGCACACACACAGAGCTCAGCTCTCACATGCCCAGGAGTCCAGACCTGTACACACACACACACACACACACACACACACGCAGACCTGTATACTCACACACACACCAGCACACACACAACTGCAGACACACTGATGCCCTTACTGCAACCCCTCCTGGGTACACACAGGCAGGCGCGTGCACACTTGGCTGACCCCAGAGGGACCTGCACACACACGCCCAGCTG